ATGTTATCCCAAGATTTGTCAAAAAAAAAATTAAAATTTTTTCTAGAGTGTCAAATATAATTTTAATTAGCATACTTACGTCAGTACTTTGAGAGTGCGGTATACTTAACCTACACCTACACCTACGCCTACGCCTACAACCTACACCCGCACCATCAGTTTATTCAAAATTGAACCTTTTCAAACATTTTTTATTTTGATCGACGTTAATTTCTCCAAATGTCTGAAGGTAATTAGACAACGCTTTCCTAGTCCTCCCTTGACGTGAAAGCAATAATAAATAACTCTTGTTCAATTTCACTCACAAAGCAACTGGTATAATAATAGATGCGCACATGGTTTCGTTGGTTACAACATATGATGACGAATTCACAAGTTACCAAGGATCAGTAGAACATTCGTTGACGGTCAACAACGATGTTAATTCTCACGAGGACTTTCATCCACTACAGCTACAACAATTTTCAGAACCTCGTGAACCTCCTGTCGAGGTTGACCAAAACACGTTAGCACTTCGGAGTCATGATTTAGTGGAAAACCTTGTTGGTAAGCTCTTGACTTTCTTGCGAATGTTTTTTTATTGGATTCTTTCACTCGTGATAAACATATCTCAATCTTTTATTAGACACCACCGAGTTAATCATTAACACCATTTGGGCAAATTTTCCGGTTCATTTTAGCGCACCAGTCATCCCCCTTCGTCTGTTCATCCAAGAAATTTTACGTAGGTCACGAACATCATGGTCGACCCTTCAAACAACATTATTCTACCTTGTGAAGATTAAGCCACAGATCACATTGCTCGCATCAAGTCAGGTTGGTGATGATAATAACAAAAGGAGTGGAAAAGGTTGTGACCCGGCGACTTGTGGTCGTCGGATGTTTCTCGCGTCGCTCATTGTGGCATCAAAATATCTTCAAGATCGTAACTTTGCAAACAACACCTGGTCAAAAATATCTGGATTACCCGTGCGAGAGATTAATGAGATCGAGAGAAGACTCTTAAAGTTAATCGATTACGACCTGTACATCAGTGAACCCATTTTTAAACATTGGGTCAATCTATTACTGTCACATATTCAGATTACATCAGGATCGACCGAGGCTGTTCAACCGGATGCACACCGGCGTGAGCAACTCAAACAGACTTTGTGGATGTCACGTTCTCAGAACGTCGAATGTTCTGTTCAAGGATGACGGAGGGGTGCAACTAGACGTGCAACTTTTATTACCCTAAACGTCATTTCAAGATGAATAATGTTTATGTTTCATTTACAAAGCATAGCACACAAGTACCCTCCTAATTTAATGTAGTACTAGTGCACATATGATATGTACTATTTAAAAAAAAGAAACCTTTTTTTTTTTTTTATTAAGAATTTTCCCCATAAAATTTTGCTTGACTAATCTTTCCCAACTTTCAGTAAGGTTCATTTTTGAATAAACTTCACGTGATATGCTCACGTGGTATGCACTCGTAAAGGTGATGCGCGATCAATGAATCAGCGACTCAGGAACGCATTTAAGTCATACGATAACTTAATTTACCACTGTACATTCGTGTGAACAATGTTTCTTTTCTGAATTACTGTTGTTACGCGAGCCAAATTCTTGATCGATGATCACCATCACCAATCTAACCAACCCTGAATTCCATCTATAGCAATATCAAGTATGTTATGTTATGTTATTACAACCATGACAAGATCGACCGTATCAAAGAGAGGTGGCCTGATGCGTTTCTGTGAGAGAAAGAAAAAAATTTTTTTTCTCTCAATAAACAGATTGAACGACCAAGAGTATTATGTAATGTGCGCTATTGTTGGACGACGCTTTCCCCCAAACCAGTTGCCATTGTAACATGATCCGATATGCAAAGAGCCATTGTAACATGATCCAATATGCGAAGAAACCATCTTGTGTGAAGAGACTCTCATTAAGCGTTCCTTAACAATGCGCTTATCTTACCATCAGTATAGCGTGCATAAATGACTTGGATGATGCGATATCTTTTGCATTGAAGATCATTCACAAAAAGAGGTCCTTGGAAAAGTGGCATGATTGTTTCCATTAAAGTTAACAAGATGGTGGAGATTCTTTCCACGTGGACCGTAAGAAGTCGATCCAACATGTTACACGAATGATATGCGCTGTAAATGACCTACTGAAAAAGTAAATTATAAATGCGCGATATGATTTATCCGACTTTATGTTATTATCAAAATTGCTTTTTTGCTTAAAATCGTACACAAAGAAAAACCAAAAGGGAAATCAACTTATTGTATGGAGTTACAAAACTCTGACACAAAGGTGACTAATGTATCATGAAGTTTGTATGACCAAGGATTTGTCATGACTTACATTATACCTGCACAAATAGAACCGGGTGAATTTTAAAAGGCCGATTCGAATTTCTGAATTTCGCATCACGAGAACAAGAACCCCTCCAAAAAACTTGTTGCATCTTGGACCTCGGAAAGTTTTATGTAAATTACCGGATAAAAAAAGAATTTTTTAGAAAACCAAAAAAAAATTCTGGAATGAACAAATTTGGTATACCGCATATCAAGTTTGAGTCACGTGATCCGTTCTATTGTTGGTCGGTTTTTTTTTAATTCAATTAATTACACAGTACACGATACGATTTAAAATAAAAAAATTATGATGATATCCTGTACCTTTTTCTAAATAAATAAATATATATATATTATTTATCAAATATAATTAATCGATTGGTTTATATTTATCATTAAAATAAAAAAATAAATTTAACCTTGTTAATAATTTTATATATATTATATATTATTTTTAATAAATTGATTTAAAAATATAAAAGAATTCTTTTTTTATTCTTTCTTTCTATACTTGATAATTTTTTTTTCACTCTTTCTTTTTCTTCTTTTTTCTAATTATTTTTTGTATTAATTGCAAATAATTTAAAGAATTGAATATTTCAAATCAATTAGATATATAATCGTAAATACAATCAAAGTTATTAAAATAAAATCAACTCAAGAATATATCAATAAATTTTTTTTACTTTTATTTGATTAAATAACCAATATTGCAAAATATAAAAAAAGCAAAAAATTATTATGCAAATTAAAACTTATATACGTATTTAAGAACCTGATCAAAATTAAAATAAAAAACTTCAATCTAATAATATAATTTTATTAAAATTTTAATATATAGAAATAAAAAACTATGGTATATAAATTATTTAAAACAATTTGATCAATTAATAAAAATATAAATAGTTTGATTTTAAATAAAAAAATCAAATATAAAAGGAATTTGTTAAGTAAAAATTAATAACCAATTATTATTACAAAAGTCAAACTAATAATAATTCTATTAATATTAAATAATAAAATTTTAAAAATTAAACAAATAATATCAGTTATATTGATATTTATATAAAATCAAATAAATTTTATTTCAACAAAATATTAAAAAACTTAAAGAAAAATATTAAATTAAATACTATTAATAGAATTACTAAATATAATTTTTTAAAAATATTTACAACCAAAATTTATTAAAGTCAAAATTCATAATAGAAATATTTTAAATAATTAAGTTAATTGATTAATTAAAATATTCAAAAAATATTTAAAAATAAAAAATAAAATATCATTATTATTAATTTCAATTACAGTACTAAAATGAAATAATATTTTTATTAATATTTGAACAAAAATATTTATTAAAAATTATAATAAAAAAACAAAATTATTAATTATAATAAAATAGATTAAAAAAATTTTTAACTTATAAAAGTAGTAAAGAATTATTAATTATTTTCTTTAAGCAAATAAAAAAAATATTTAAAATTAAGTTTATTTAAAATAAATTATTTATTATAACCAATTTAATTATACACTAGTTGAAATGGATTTATTCGGCATAATGCCACTCGTCAATCATTCATCAAAAAAGTATATAATTCGGCTAATCAAAATTATA